AAGTTCGCCGGGTGCCCAAGTTCTTGTGAGGGCTCGCAGCCGCATGGTGGAACCGAAAGGGCTGTACCRGCCCGCCAGGGTGTCCCGGAGCGCTGGAATATCCGTCATCTTTGTGTACGGCGAATCCCAGGTTTTCTTCCCAGAGAACGGTCAGGTTCCACACTGAGTGACACCGTATGTTGCTTGGCGCGGTCGGTGTTGTAACGTTGGGCTAAATCGGGGTCCATCCCGGCTCTTCCCACTTTCTCCTGTCCAAACAGCACACAGGATGTAGGTGGAAACAGTAGGATTTAGGTGGAAAATGCTTTGGAAAGCCTCACGGTGAGCTTGTAGGCGTCTTGGGAAGCCTGGAGCATATGCCACCAGTGCCACAGGTCACGCTTTGTAAAATAGGGGCAGAGTGTTAGGATAAACAGTGAGCGCTAGTGCGGCATTGTGGTGGTGGGAGCCCGTTAACACTGGTGCTGGAAATGTTGGCTTTCCTGGCCAAGTGAAGCTCCTTGGCCACACTGCTGCCTCTCGTCCTGGGTTCCATCCTGCCTGGCTGCAAACCCATCAAGCTGATCCTGAGGTCAGTCTTGTAGGCACCTGCGAAGTTCAACACAACCTGCAAAGTTCATTGCCGATCATTGCGACTTTTCTGCAGAGGAGAATGATTTGGGTGTTTTCTGTCATAGARTCGCGTTTTACCATCCCTTGGAAGGTAGTGCTGCCAGAGTTAAGGCTGACAGAAGTGAAAATAAACTTTGCTCTCCACAAGTCCTATAAGTCGCTGTCTTCTTTTGATGCTGCCAGTTACACCATGAGAAGTGGTTGCCCAAATAATCTTACGCTTAGAACACTAATGCTTTCCAACAGTACCTTACAAAATACCAAGTAACTTTGTAAAATAATTACTTTGTATAAAAAGGTGAATATATTAAATGTGTCAGASATTATTACTTTTTATCTTGTTAAAAAAGAGCTAACTATGCCATGAAAGACTAGCTTTTCAACAAGCAACAGTGTCTTCAAAGTATAACACAAATCAAAAGCTGGCCAAAATGCTACTTGGTCTTCATTGCAATCAATATTGTTAAAGAAAACAAGACTTGAATCATCACCTTTACCCCCTTGACTGAAATGACTTCAAGGCTGTATTTGCTTTGAAATGGCAACATTTAATAGATATTTTAGGTTTTAATGTTATGTCCCAGCAGTTCTTATGAGTATACTTAGCTGTTTTAGTGCTTTTCATGCTGTGATYCTTGCATGACATTGTAGACTTGAGCAATAAACCCATGTATTTTATATTTTTCACATAGTATCACAACATGGATGTGAGTTTTGAGGACTACGCTTAGCTTTGCTTCATTTTAGAGACATAAGCAAGTTATGAAGCTCTTCCTCCAGTTCAGTCAGTCTCACAGTACACATTAGAAATAAATACATCACGTTATGAATAAGTGCATTTCTTTCTATAGAAGTATTAAAACCAGATTTAATTAATATTATTTATAAGTTTTCCATGTTTTGTAGTGATATAAAGAAAAAAAAAAGGAATTAAGCTAAATTCATCAAACAGCATTAAAATACCATATATTGCTGCTGCTATATTGCTTATCAACACTTGTTATCAGTAGCATAAGTTTTGTATTTAAGATAGTAGTGTATACATATACGTACATTAATGTGAATATGTGGTTTGCTAATACTCCTTTAACATTCCTTCCCTTCTAAAAGGAGATAACACCAGAACTTTAATGTGTTACAAACATCTCATTAAGGTAGATTTTTTTTTTTCCAAACTACATTAAAAAATCCAGACACACCATTCTATACCGTGGTTATATTTTTTGCCAAGATTGCAACAACATTACTCTATGGTTACTACAGCACTGAATTGGAAATACATTTACACTTTTTATAGACTTTGAAATGTTTCATGTAAAATGCTGGACAATCCCTAGTATTTAAACTAGGGGTGGAAGATGGAAATGTTGCAAAGGTTTTTTTTTTTGGTTGGGTTTTTTTTTTGGTTTTTTTTTGTTTGTTTGCTGGGAGTTTGTGAGATGAAAGGAAGATTTTTTTATTTGGAAATAAGTATCACTTGCTCCCTCAGAGGTTTTCAAAAGATGTGCATATTTCACTTGTCATTCCAAATTAACTGTTTAAATCCTGTCTTTCCTGTTCATGCAGCTGTTTTCAGTCTCCTTATGGAGACTGCACACCAGCAGTGAAAATGTGATGTGAAGTGCAGGCTGTGAGTGCAGGTTTAAAACTCAAAAGATGTAACAAGGGAACAAACAAGAGGGGTCAGCTCTCCTGCTGTTCATCTGAATGCCTACCTATGACCATACTCTTGGGTAATTTCTACCACAGCTCTTCAAAAGCCCAGCCATAGTCCATCATGTCTCAGTATCATGAATTTCATATATTAAGTAGTACTCTATTCATAGTGTGGAGTGTTATTTTCCTTTCATCTGTTCTGCCTTGTGTTGTTGCTTGCATTCCTGATAAATAGCATCCCACTAAGCTCTTTAACACAGTAGGATAGTCCATTAACTACTGGAGCCAGTGGACATTGGATCAGTACACAGCGAAATCAGGAAGGCGAGCAGGAACAGGAGAGGTGTATCAGAAAGGTTACTCTAGAGTTGTCGCTCTTTTTTTTCTTCTTCATACATTATGATAGCTGTATTTTACAGTTATTTATGATTAATGTATGGCAGGCTGTCAGATGAGATCTAACAGATAATTTGTCACAAAACTGCATTAATACATATTTTAGGSTTTGGCTTACAAAATGATTATGAGAAATGTTCCCAAGTTGCCATACTGCTTTTTGAAAATTTTCATTTTTAAACCCCAGACACTTTGAGCGCCTATTGTTTAAGATAATAAAACACTACTAGACAAGTAAACACATTATCTATATGCAAAAATTCATTCAGCTAATTCAGTTTGTGTACACATCTTTTAAGTGCTGATTTAGTACCTCACTAGACACTGTCAGTACTTGTCATCTTGTAAACATTTCTGATTCATATGCATCTTTTAACTTATGAAACAAGTAGTTAGAGGCAAAGGTATGAAGAGTATAGTGATTTTCAGTGCAGCTCTTTATGATCACTTTTGCTACATCTGATATTTTTTTCCCTGCTCTCTTCAGGAGGTGAGGCTTTATGCACTTATGTGATCCACTTGGTACCCAAACAACTTGTATGTGCCAGCACATTTCAAATCCTCTTCAAAGGATTCATGTATCCTATCCTACAGGTCTCAAACTCTGTTCTAATTTTTCCTCTGCGGAAATAGATGTTAGAAAGATGAGGGAGATGAGCAGGCAGGTTCCCAGCCTATTAACTGGTGTGACTGAACCATAGACCCAAAACATAGGTTTACCATAGACTCAAAATAGCATGGTGGTGGAACAGGTGATGTAGCACATTAATTCAAAGTAAATTAGTCTTAATTGTTTCTGCTTGTCAGGGAAGAACTTGTTGTTGTACTAACTCTTTGGGTTTGTTTTTTGGGTTTGTTTTTTTTTTTTTT